CATCCCTCCTCACTACGGCCCCCTCCTCCTGTGGTCCCACAGAAGCACAGCACAAGGACCATGGTGCTTCGCCAAAGCCTGCCCTGCCCCGGAAGGGCTGGGGGAAACCTGAGGAATTCCCAAGGATGCGGGCTCTGATCCCCCCATCCCCCCAGCTCCTGTGTACAGAGGGTGCTGCCACTGCACCCTGATGTCCAGGACCCAACCAGGCTCACAGTGGCACCCAAGGGACAAGAAGCTGGCACGAGATCTCAGGGTGAATAATGGGGTGTGATTGTGCAGTGCCTGGACCCCTGGACCATGGGCCCCCTAAAGCTGGGCTGAGCCTGTCCCAAGTGTCCAGCACTCACTGGTCCAGAGACAGGAAAGAGTGGCAGAGCCCCCATCCCCACCTGCTGACACCTACCAGTGCTCACCTCTTTATCATGCCACAGGAGGGCTGCACACCAGGGCTGCCAGTCGACTGGGTAACCTCACGGTCATAGTAGTTCTGGTAGGGCACTGGGGCTGGGGTGATGGCATGCCTGTGAGCCCCGAGGGGGCAGCAAGACCTGGACCTCTACCCAACACCCCAGCCTGGGCCTATTTCCCCTGCTGCTTGCCTGAGGGACCACACTTCAGGCATGACAGTGCTAGATGGATTTGCTGGGACCAAGCAGGTTGGGCTGGGGCTGAGGGCCCCATCCTCACACCCATTCTCTGAGCACCCTGGGACTTTCGCCTCCGGGAGGCAGCAGGCCAGGGACCCACCAGCTGGGGAAATGTGCTGTCAGCAGCCCATCCTGCTGGAAGATCTGTGAGCCACCCAGTCTTCCCCAGCCCGAGGCTCAGACAGCCCTGCGGCTTCCTAGGCCAGGCCGGCCTTACCTGGGGGCTCAGAGCCTGTGCCCTTGGCATGGATGAAGCTGTTGATGTCAGCATCCACGTTGCAGCCTTCCAGCGTCAGCCGCACCTCCTCGTAGAGCTAGGGTAGAAGAGACCAGAGGCTGTGGACCAGGCTGTACCCTGGTGTCTAGGCCCCCACCCAGGGGCCTGAAGTGAGGGACCTCATGGGGTCAGAGCCCCAGCCGACTTCTTCCTACTTCCTGAGCACTTCTGTGCAGGGGCCCTGTCTGCCTTGTTTTGTAGGAAGCTCAGGGGCAGGGATGAGCTCATAATCAAGCAGTGCTGCAGGCTGAGTGGGTCCAGGGACCCAGGAGGCCATCAGCAGCTGGCCTCAAGTCATTTGAGAAAAAATAACCCAGAGCCCACAGGTAAGAGGAGTCCAGGTTCCTCTAGAGCTCAGGCAGCACCAAGCACTATTCTGACTCCCCATGCTTAGGATGCTGGGAGCAAGGTTGGCGTCTAAGACTCCTGACTGGAGCACAGAGGGCCAGGAAGCTGCTGACCAGCCCTGGACACCCCTCCCACTCGCCTGCCCCTGCCCACCTCGTCGTCCTTGACACACTGCATGGAGAGCTGGTTGCAGTGCACCCACAGGGCATTGCGCAGGATGACCAGCCGGTCGAACTCTTGAAGCTGGAAGGCCTGTGGGTGGCAGGAGGAGGGGCTGTGGGCTGGGCCAGTTGAGGCTGACCAGCCAGGCACCGGCCCCGACAGTCTGACAAGACTGAAGATGAGACTTGGGGTCCCCAGCCCACTACTGTGCCCCTACAGGCTGCCAGGAGGGGTGTGAGCCCTGGGGGGCTCCCAGGGAGGCCAGCAAGAGGACACAGGACCTGGCCCTGAGCCCTGGTCCCAGGTGGCCGTGGCAGGGCCGGGGAGCCTAGGCTTTGCCTGAACCGAGGCTTTGGCTTCAGCACCCGGGTGAAGGGTGCGAGATAAGGAGCCAGGCACCCGGGATGGTAATAGCCCGGCCCCAGACAGCTACTATGTCAGGGATGCAGTGGGGAAACGGAGGCTTCACCCCAGCCTCACCTCACAGGTGGTCCGGTGCTCCTGCTCCCACTCAGCCCGCACCTTCTCCAGCTGCTCAATGCTCTGCCTGTAGGCCCTCTCTGCAAGCACAGGCAGCTCAGGGAGGCTGCCGCCCGGGCCCTATCCCCCATCCCTCAGAGCCCCAGAGGAGCTCCCTGCCTGCAGGGCCCCATGTGTGACACAGGGCTCAGGGGGACCCCCAGCTCTGTGCAAGGGCTGGCCTGGGGCCCCAGACACAAGCACAGAGTCCAGGCTGCTGGCTGTTCCTGCATCCTACTCCCTCTCCAAATGGGAGACTGAGTCTCAGGGAGGGCATCCATGCCTGGGGCGGGGAGGGATTGGAGCTGCTGGGTGGGGAGCCTGGCAGGCTTGGGTCTCTGTGGTCCCCTGTCCCCAGCCAGGGAGAGCGGGCAGATGGGGGACTGTCCTGGGAAGCGAGAGCCATGTGTCTAGGAGGTTTGCTAGTGGGGACCGGCATCAGGTGGAGGACAGAAGGATGTCACTTGGGTATGTTGCTTACCCTCCTTGTGCCTCAGTTTCCTCATCTGTTAAGGGGGGGGGTTAGTGGGGTGGGGGGGCCAGCTTACTTACCTGCTTCGGTGGCTGCATCCTTGCACTGCTTGGCCTTGTTCTGGCTCTGGGGGTCAAGGAGAGCTGTGCTGAGTTCCTGCCCAGCCCCCTCTCTCGAGCCACTCAGGAGTGACTCTCACACTGCTGCCACCCAGAGGATGCTCAGGGCAAACTGCCTTCCATCCTTTGCTGGGGCCTCCCCAACAGTGGTGGAATGTTCATGGAAAGGGAACAAGCCAGGACTGCAGCCCGCAGGCTCAGTGCACAATGGACGTTGAGACTCATGGTGGAGTGGTGGCCCCTGAGCCTGTGGCGGGACCCAGGCTCTGGTGCCTGTCTTGCCCCAACCCACTCACAGGCCCTACTCCTTGGGGCCTTGGCATGTGTGCCTGTGCACCAGGTGACATTGTTTTGGGGCCTGGGTGCCTCTGACACCTCCACCCTGGCCCCAAAGCCCAAGTGGTCAAGAGCTGGGCCTGAACAGCCTAGGTTTGGGATTTTTCTCGGCCCTGTTCTCAGGGCCTGCCCTGAGGACTGGATGCTGGGTAGAGCTGGAGGTGGCAGAGGGGACCCAGGTCACCCTCTTTCCAGGCCCTAAGATTCTAAGAAACCCACTCCACAGATGGAGACTGGGGGTCCGAGAGGGGTGATTGTTGGCACCCCCCCCCAACCTGCACAGCCCCCAAACCCCAGCACCTTCTCCACTTGCTTCTGGCTGGCACTGCTCCCACTGGCACTGATGCGCTCGCAGGCCTGCTCGGCATCATCCGCGTCCCGGCACTTCTGCTCATATGTTCTCTTGGACTGGGGTGTGGAGGTGGGGACAGTGGGCTAGGCAGTTCTGCTGTGGTCCCCCAGAGCCACGTGCCCCAAGCCCAGACTCCCTGTCCCTGGCAGGGCTGTGGTGATGGGGCATCTCCGTCAGTGACAGAGATCTGGGAGTCAGAGGCAGAGATGCGGAGGCAGGGGCAGGATCCTTCCCACAGGGACCGTGGTGCATCCACTTCAGGGTGTAGTCTCCAAGGAGACACCTGGGGAACCCTTCTCGCCTTCCCACCTGGGATCCTGTGGACACCACCCAGGGACTCTTCCCCCACCAGTCCTAGGGTCCCCAGCCAACAGTGTGGTCACCCTGTGGCCACTCTGTAGGACCTGCCCCTGTCCTTCCCTCAGGATCCCCATATCCCTTTGCTGATCCACTAGGGCAGTGGTGACACATGTGCTACAGTGAGCTGTTCGTGTCATTGAAAGCCCTAAAAGGTTCACCATCAATGCAGTAGGGACCCTGGTGTCCAGCTGGGCATGGAGCTGGATTCTGGGTGGAGGCAAGTGTGGCCTGGTGTCCCCAGAGCCCCTCACCTCCATGGCCTTCTTGTAGAGTGACAGCTTGCTCTTCTGGATGCGGTCCATTACGGCCTCATACTGGAGGGGGGCATGGGGCTCTGATCAGGGGCCATGGCCTCGGATGCTCCCCTAGACTGACAGGACGGCTATCTCTGCCATGAGGCACGACAGCCTGCTGGCTCTGGGAGGGGACAGGCACCGAGGGCCACTTCCTTCGTGGTCAGGACTTGGGCTCCACCAGAGTTCTCCCTGCACAGGGACACACACACACAGACACAGACACAAGGATGCACACACAGACACACACCAAGACTTGCAGAAATGCACAAGCACACACACCAAGACAGAGTCCTAGTTTCCTCATTCACAACCTCTGTTCTTATCACAGTCGCTCACAGCCTACATGCCCTGGTACCCCTACCTGGGCCACATCCACACTCAACTGCTTATGCTTGCACACAAACTCACAAGCACGGACCAAACCCTGCACACAGCAAGCACCACAATACTTGGTCTACGTGCAGCACAGCAGTCCCTGTTCAGGTGGAGGAGGCAGGAATGAGGGGGATTAGAAATGACACCTGGGTGCCACAGTGCCCAGGTCTCAGGGTAGGGCCAGCTGGGAGATCTGGTCAGGTGGCCTGGTTCCAGAGGCACAGGCTCACTCGTGTGCACACACACACTGAGACACGCATGGGCCCAGGGCCAGGTGAGGACACAGTGCAGCCACCCTCCCCTGCCCTGCAGACACAGGACACAAAGCCAGCTGTGACCGGACAGCCCCGGCTCCTAGTAGCAGCAAGTACTCTTCAAGTCCCCACTCAGATCACTGCCCGGCATCAGGGCTGGCAGCTCTGGGGACACTGTCTACCCCCTGGCGGGCAGACACGTGGCTGCACTGAATTCCTGCCCTTGGAGCCATGGCTCTGTCTGAACAGAGTTCTCAACACTCGGGGCAGCTGGAGCAAAGTCCCATGCTACAAAGGGAAACTGAGGCAGAGGGTGGGGAAGTGGCCCAGCCTGGTCTGCCTGGGAAAGCAGCTTTCCTCCATCTGCATCCAAGTTTTTGCATGTCAGTTATAAGTCTGTAAATGACACTTTTGCTCCGTGCCATGAGCATCTATCACCCTGCCCACCCAAGCCCCTTCCCACGGGCGGAGCCCCTGTACCTCCATTCTGCCCTGCTCATGGCCTAGGCTCTGAACCCGCCTGGCCCTGCAGCCTTTAGCTCACACACCTCCCACAATGGGGGCCTCTCTCCTGCCTTGTGGTCACCCCAAGGGCCAGCCATCCCTGCACAGGTGAGAAGTGGCTCCGAACACTCAGCTGACCCACAGTCCCCGCCCACAGTCTGCTCCACTCTGACCCTGGGGCTCAGGGCTGGTGTCCAGGGACACCTCAATCAGACTGGCTCTGGCGTGCCACGCTGTCCTCAAGTCCTGCGGTCCCTATGGCAGGACAATTGGAAACCAGTGCCTTCCTCTCCTGCCTAGCCATGCCCCCGCCCTCCTCCAGTGCCCCCGTGCAAAGCCTGAGGCGCACCCTCCTCACCTTGCGCCTCTGCTCCTTCTGCCGCTCTCGGAACTCCTCCAGGCTCCGCAGCTCTTCTCGCAGGGCCAGGGCCAGCTGGAGGTGCGCGCTGCCCACGTTCTCTGTCTCTGGGGGCAAGCCTGCCTCAGACCACCACCGCTCCCCTGCCCATCCCTGCTTGGCACCCTCTCCTCTTCTTTGCCCTACAACAGCTTTGCAACCTAGCACAAAGCCAGTGACAGCCTGCCTCACTCTCCTCACCGGCATCCACCCGCTCCATTACCCTGCAGCCCAGGCGGGGATGGTGGGGACTTACGCTGCTTCAGGGAGTCAAAGGAGGCCCTCAGGGTGCTGTAAGACAGAAAGGACCGGGTTGGCAGGAAGACCATGTGTACAAACCTGAAATCCTGGCTGGCCCCGAGCACTTTTATTTTGGTGGGGGGCCCTGGGCCACCTTGGAAGCAAGGGACCTAGGCAGTAGCTGAATCATGGCTGTCCACACAAAGCCCATCCTGGAATTTCTGGAAGGAGAAACCCTCTGTGGGAATTCCAGAGTAATCCAACCTGTCCGCTGTGGCAGAGGAGGGAAGCAGGGATCCCCTCACCTCTGCCCCTCATCTGCACCTCTCCGGGTCCCCCCTCCTCAAATCCTCTCCTCTCAGCATCCGGTGCACCCAGGATGAGGCCGAAACAGGAGAGGGCCAAGGTTAGATCTGGCCTCCCCAGCCAGGGGGTGCTCAGAGGGATCTTGGTGAGAGGCTGGGGCCCCCAGGTGGCAAGAGGGGATGGCTGTGGGTGCTGCCAGCTGCGGGGAGGGGCAAGGTGGGCACTGGGGCGGAGGGGAGGAGGGGTGCCAGGCCTGGGGGGCAGGGACAGTGCTGGGGTGAGCAGGTGAAAACAGGGTGCCCATTTGCTTGGGCGTCAGATAAACAGGCGAAAACAGCACGCCCAGCAGGACCCAGTGCAGTCGGCTCTACAGAAGTGCCCACTGGTCAGCCTCAGCCTGAGCCCCCTGCAAACCCCAGCCAGGGAAACGGCTACAGCGAGGAGTGGGGACGCGCCTGCCCCCTGGTGGCCACATGACACCCAGGACTCAGCTTTCTCTGGGAAGAAGCTTGGCTTCCAGTTCTAGGACAGATGGGGAAACCCAGCCAAGGAGCTGCAGGGACCTGGCAGGATCCCAGGGGCCAGGTCTGAGGGAGACTATGGGTCCCAGCAGCTACCCAGCCCCTGCCCTGCACGCAGGGGTCCCTGACAGCAGCTGAGCCTCCTTTGGCAAGAGTGGGAATGCAGAGTCCTAGGCCATGAGCTAAATGAAGTGGGGCCCAGCCTCTGCTCTCACACTACTCAGGAGCTGCTGTGGCTCCATCCAGTCCAGAGGATTCACCTTCAACTCCGAGGAGAGGAGGCCTTTCCGCTCCACACCTCACAAACAGGAAATGAGGCTGGCCTGGGAGGAGGCAGAGCCTGCAGCCAGAGGAGGGAGGGGTGGTTGCTGTGACAACCCCACTTCCCATGACTCCTGGGCTGTGACGCCGTGCAAGCCTCTGCCTCCTGCCAGCCATCACCAGTGCTCACAGGTACAGCTCATCCTATTGCCCCTTTCTTCTTGACTCTCAGGAAGCTCAGCCTGAAATTCTGCCCTCAAACACAGTCCAGTGTCCCAGTGTAAATGGCTCTTCACATACTCTCCCCCAACGCAGGCTATGCCACTTCAGAACCCTGCTTTGGCATCCCTGTCCCTCTTCTACCTGACAGCCTGTTGGCTCACACAGCGCAACCAGCACCTCCCTGCAGAGAGGGCTGTGCCCCCAGTGAGTTAGCATCGGGGCAGGCATGCTGCCCACCAGCTCCTCAGGGACAGCTTTATTCTCTCTGAGCTCAGGGGAACAGCAATCACAAAGTATTTTGCAGAAAAACCAGTGCTTCAGGTCTATTGCAAAAGAAGGTGAGGGTTCAAGCCCCACCCTTTGGGGGGCTGTCCTTGCTCACAGGAAGGTCTCCAGCCTCAGTGCTCTGGCCCCAGCCAAAGAGCTTCCTGGAGCAGGGACACCCACCTCTTGTCAGGGCCAGAGAGGGCAAGGGGGAGATACCCGAGCTTATGGGGTACATGGAGGGTGGAGGGGAAAGGGTGGCCCCCTCTAGGTGGGTGAGTGAGCTTCCTGTTGGGCTGGGCACCGCGGGCTTAGGGACCAGGTCTTGGCTGTGTCCCCTGTTGTCCCTGAGTTAACACCCTGCAAAAGAGGCTCGTGCCACAGTCACGCTTAGATGGCAGAGGTGTCTCCAACCCTCCACTCCCTGGGTCTAGTGGCGGCTCCCACCTGAGGCTGAGGGATGTTTTGGTGCTGGGCCACAGCTCTCTAGCCACTGGTGGGGTTGTGGGATCCCTGGTTTCCTTCCCATCCCCCTCTGCTTGCTACTGTCCAGGGGCTAAGAGAGGCACCCCACAGACCTGGGCTTCCCCCACCTGGGGCCAGGCCTCCCTCACACGTGTCCTTGCCAGGGACCAGCAAGGTGCCATGGTGCCTACTCACATCTCCTACAAGGATGTTCCAGGCTAGTGCAGAGAGGTTGGCCTGCGGATGCCAGGCCCCAATCATGGGAGGGCTTCCTGAAGGAGGCACCCGGAAGTGAGGAGGAGGAGGTGCTCTCTCCTTGATCTGGGATCTGGGGGCTTTGTCTTATTCTAATTCCTGAGTTCACCTGCCTCAGCCTGTGGCACACAATAGGTGCTCTATAAATGCTTGCAGGACAAACAGGTCAGTGATGGCTGCTTGGCGCATTAAAGGAGTGACAGGCGGCCTCACCCCCCTCGTGTGCTCAGGACCACTGAGTGCGCTGTGTGCAGATGTCAGGACTGCATGGTGGCCCTGGGGGAGGGGTTGGTGGGATATACCCTGCCAGGGAGCCCCATGTATAGGCGATACCCATCCACTGCACACCCTGCCCCACCCAGCCACTGCTGTCTTCTTCCACTCCCCTCCCAGCCTGCCCTGGGGGCCAGGTTCTGGGCAGCAGGCCCTGAGGTTCCTTCTTTTTTGGGGGGTGGGGTTGAGGCAGGGTGTCGCTATGTAGCCCAGGCTAGCCCGGAACTTACAGAAGTCCTCTTGCCTCAGTCTCCTGAGTGCTGAGATCCCAGGTGTGCACCAGCACACCCTGCCTAGGGTTCCTTCTGCCTAGGCATTGCCAGCCCAGCACTGGCTCCCACAGGGGCAGCCTCGGCCTCTGCTCCCCACTCTGGGTCACCCCCCCACACACTGGCCTCCAGCTCTCGTGCTGTCCCCAGGGCCTTGGCAGGGGTGTGGGTGTGGGGGGCCTTAGACACTCAAGCCCCCCAGCAGGGCCTCTGCATGCCAAACCAAGCAGGTGCTTCAATCTACCTGCTGGGTGGAGGGGCAGGCAGTGGGGCCAGGGAGAGTGTAGACATTGCTGTGTCATGAGCACACCCTGTGTCATCATGAGGGCCCAGAGCACTTCTCAGGGGCAACTGCCACCTTCTGCAGGGACCCATGACTCAGAAAGGGAAACTAAGTCAGTTAAGACCTACCCCACTCAGCCTTCCCACGCCGCAGTTCAGCTTACCCCTGCTACCAGGGATCAGCTCCTCTCCTGCTGTCAGTCCCAGTGACTCACGGCTCCCTGAGCATGGCTCACAGGACCCACTTGCCACGGCCACCTCCTGCCCTCTTGGCCGGGCCCCAGTCATCTCTTGGAAAATTCAGCTCTCCCTGGGCACAGCCCACATCTGCCGCCCAGCTGTCCCTTCAGTGCCACTGCACCCCAGCCCAGAGCAGTGGCAGATGGAAAACGAGCTCAGAGAGATCACGGAACTGTGAGGGGACCGTGCATGCTGGGCACTCCACCCCCCCAACCCCCAGCAGGGCCTCCCCAGCTCTGCCACTCCTAAAGCTTCCTCTGGCCTCCCCAGGGTTTCTCTGGCAGGAAGGGCCAGGTACCCTAGAAAGCATGGTTCATTCAAGGACTGTCCCAGGCAGAGCAGCGTGTGTCACCTCCAGGAATTGGCTCAGGGAGAGGGCAAGGTGTCTCTGTAGGCTCAGGCCTTGGGCCTCTGTTCAGGACTTAGTACAGCACTGAACCCCAGCCTCCTCTGTCCCCATATGGGAGTGTCCCAGGCTCCAATGCCCAGCCTCAGCCACCCTCTCTGTCCCCTGCCTGGGCAGGCACAGACTCCACCATGGCTATTCCCCAGGGCACCCTCCTAGCCAGGCCTGTACCAATCCCCGGACCATTTAACCTGCTGTGGAAGGGGATGTTCTTATCCTGCCACTGATGGAGACAGCGGCCATCCTAGGTCCCAATCTGGTGGGAGAGGAGCAGGCCCTGGGCCCGAGATGTGTCCCCACCCAGATCTCTCTCCATCCTAGAAGCCCAGGCTGAGACGTCACTACAGGAGCTGGGACAGGCAGACGGGCCACTGCTGGCCTCCAAGACTGGATGGGGGCCACCTGGGCTGGCACTGGCGTGGGTATGAGCAGCTAGGGACCCAGAGTTTTGGCCTGTCCTGCCCAGCAGCACCCAAACTCGATCACCAGTTACCACACAGGGCCCGTGCCATGAGCAGTCCGGATGCCCCAGCCCTGCCTGGCTACCCCGTGACAGGACACCCAAGAGATAAAGTCCCAAAGCCCCAGCCAAGGAGGGCCTGGAGCTGTGCCTGGTGCTTACTTGATCTCCGTCTGCCCGCCTGCCTTCCTCGCAATCTGCACCAGCTCCTTCCCGTACCGCTCCTCTGCCTGGGCCCTGCAAGGCACAGTGGGCACTGCTGTCTCCTCCAGGGCTACTCTGCCAACCTCGGTGCAGGACAGCTGTTGGGAGAAGTTGGGGCCCGGCCCCTCTATCTGCAGGGACCCCCCACAGCTGCCCTGGGTGCTCCAGGTTGGGGGACCAGGGTTGGCTTCTGGCTTCCTGGAGCAGGTTGCCCCAGCAGCAGCCCAGAGAGATGGGGCCCCACTCTGTCCACCCAGGCTACCTCGTACCTCTGCCGCAGCAAGTCTTCCACATCCTTGCACATCTTCCTGCCATCCAGCAGCCGCTGCAGCAGCGCCTCATAGCCTGTGTGGGCTGTGAAGTCCCTGCACTGGAACACAGGGCACAAAGACACTTGACTCAGGGTGGGGGCAGTGCAGGCTGTGGGTCATGTTCCAGTGGGGGCCCCTCAGCCACTCCTGGCATGGCCTCTGCCCTGTACCCCCTCCCCACTCGAGGTTGAGCTCCTCGGGATTTGGCTGTGACTTCCCACTGTACCCAGGAGGTGCCCCACACTGGCAGGGGTGACAGGCAACTGGGCAGGGCTACTGTGCCTGGTGTCAGAGCTCACAGTCCAGGACCCATCTACACCAACACAGGACAGTGGGTGACAGGGCCCCTGAAGTTCTGGGACCACTGCCAGCCCTACACTTCACATCCACTCGGGTGCCTGGTGCTACTGTGCCCCCGGCCTGCAACCCTGTCATCTCACTGTCTAAAGGGAGAACGGCTGCGGGGTGACCCAGCTTGGTGTAGTGGGGTGGCACTGAGCACGGGCCGTCCAGCTGGCATCACCCCCCAAGTGGCCTCTGTGACAACTATGGTGCTGGCCCCCTGCACAGATGGGACAGTCCTCTGGAGAGCCCCTGTCTTGCAAGGTGGGCACCAGGACATGGCCAGCACCTCCGTGGCCCTTCTTGTTCCTTTTCTTTTGGTGCTGGGAAAGGAGCCCAGGGCCTCACACACAAGGCCATCACCAACCTCTGAGCCATCCCAGCCCTGGCTCCCAAGTGTTCGAGGGGCACCTTGGGGTGTCTTGGGTTCCAGGTATGTGGCTGAGCTGCTGTGCAGCAGCTGGGGGGAGGGGTGCAGGGATCAGGGCTCCTACAGCGTCCCCCAGTCCAGGGCCAGGCACCTGCTCCCAGGCCTCCTGACTCGGGAGGAGATGAGTCCTGGCGTAAGGCAGGGACTCTGCCAATCTCCAGGAGTCTGGCACCCATGAGCCTGGGAAAGGACCACACACATCACGGACCCAACCCACAGAGCTCAGAGGTCCCCGGGCCCCACCCAAGGTCAAACACAACCTGTCTTCCAGGCAAAGCCCAGCCTCCTTCCCCAGCCTCCCCTCAAATTATGGGCGTGAGGGGAGAGACCAGAGTGAAAATCAGGGGGAACTTCTCCCAGGAAGAGGTATTTGAACCAGGCTCTAAGGAGACATGAGGTCTTTAAGGTCTAAAGAAAATCAGACATGGACAGAGGTAGACGGGGCCCCACTGCAATTCTGCCCAGCCTCAGCCAACTGGGGTACATGGAAGTCCCCACACTCCTGTCCCCGTTCATAGGTGGCCCTGGGAGCTCCTGTGGGGGCCTGTCATGGGCATGGCATCTGCCCCAGGCCTAGTCTGGTGGCCCAGGCCCCTGGCTTGTCAGCAGATCCAGCTGCCCCTCCCTGCACCTCTGCCCTCCTTCTGGACCCTAGGTCGGAAGCCTGGGCAGAAGGGGAGGAAAACAGAAGCCTCTGCCCCTGCCCTCCCTAGGAGGGGTTGTTCTGAGTGGGCACCACATTTAGGCCAGGAAACCACAGGCCTAGCTGGGAAGCATCCTGTCCCCAGTTCCCCAGATGCAGAAAGGAAGGAGCAGCTAGAGCCACAGTTAGGACAGGATCAGGGTGAGAAGAGGTCCTGGCCTCCCCAGGGGTCCCTTCGCCTGCCCTCCCTGAGGCCCCTGAGTGGGAGAGAAGCCATGCAGACCTACATTGGCCATCCCAGAAGCACAGGAAAGCAGCACCGGCCCACAGGCTGAGTCCTCAGAAGCGCAGTACCCACAGTACTGAGGCTGGTGACTTCTGTCCCCAGCACACACGGCACCATGAGCCACAGGCACCGTGACTGGTGACTAGGCTGTTCCGAAGAAGCGGCTGACCTGGGGCTGCCCAGCTGCCTCCTAGCTCTGCCCCCTTCCGTGCTGTACCTCCTCCTCTATCCACCAGCTAGATCCTGCTCAAGGGCTGGGTTCTGCTTAGTGCCTAAGAGCGAGGCTCAATATGCTGTCGAGGAAAGAAGGAACCACCATTTCTACCCAAAAAGTCACCATTGCAGACCTCCCATCCAAGGCCCAGTGCCAGAATCGCCCCCAGAGTCCTAACCCCAGCCTACACACCCCACTTCCTCCATCTGGCCTCAGCCCTGTGTCCTGTCCATAGCCTTGCCTTCTGTGAATTCAAAACTGAGCCCTTGCTCCATGGGTCACATTGTCTCCTGGGTACAGACCACAGAAAGGTCTAAGGTTGTTGATATGTGCCTTTCACAGCTAAAGCTTCTCCCTGGGACCCCAGACCCATTCTTAAGAATGAAGCCATCAAAAGAACAAGACCTCAGTCTCCGAGGCTCCATGGGAGGACAAAGTCCCAGTTCTGATAACCTCCAGCCCAGAGTCACACCCCTTCCTGTTTTACCTCTCTTGTGCCAAGCCCCTGCTTCCCCTTGTTACTTGCTTGTAATTGGCTTTAAAAACCCTTAATTGTGTAGGTCACACAGCTGAGCTGCAGACAATACATGCCATGAAATAATGCGGTGAATGTTTAAATTTTTAAACAATATATTACAGTAAAAGACCCATTACATCAATTCCCCCATAATCCTCCCCCTTACTTTGAACACACTCATTCCATTGTTCTTGCCACTTGCAGAAGCAGCTCTGGAAGTCCTGTTCATGAGTGTCATTAGTTGTGCTGTCATGGCTGCCTGAATGTCCTGAATTGACTCAAAACATTTCCCTTTTGTGGTTATTTTGACTTTCGGAAAGCGCTAGAAGTCACATGGTGCCAGATCTGGTGCATAAGGTGGGAGAGGACACACCATCATGGCATCATGTTTTTATTTGGTGGAAATTGCTGTACCGGAAGCTATGTGACATGGCACATCATAATGATGGAATAGAAAACCATTTTCCCATGTCCCAGGCTGTTTTCTACACACCTCATTTCTTAAATGCTCTAATAAGTCCTTATAATATTCAGAGTTCATAGTGGTGTTTCTGCTACAAACTCAGCTCGCAAAATTCTACCAAGGGTAAAAAAACACACACACACAACATCACCCTGATGTTGGATCTTGATTGATGTGCTTTTTCACACAAGAACTGGGTGATTTCCATTGGGAACTCTGAACTTGGTCCCAAGATCTAAACCATAGACCTGACTGTCATCTCCTGTGATGGCGTTTCTTTAAAAGCTGGATTCTGAAGCAGGTGGATCAAGCAATTCCAATGAAATGGACAAAATTGCACATTAATGCATGATTTTTGTCACACTGTAAAATATCCCTCTCTCAGCCATAGCTCACAACCCAGTGACTGTGCTGAACAAGCTGGAACTTGTCATACCGTGTCCCTACTATTCCACAGGCTTTCATAGTGAGGATCTTGCCTTTCTGTTGGGTGGCACTCAGCAGCAGAGCTCATCATTGTACCTCATATTATTAGTCTCCCACAAGCCCTGCTGTAGACAACGCCTCTGACGCCTGGTTTATGATTATGGTTGCCTAGGTCATTTTTCAGGGACTTGACAGAAGTTTTGCCAAAACCACCAGTTCTTACGGGCCAATGCAGGTGTCCAATCAACCTGGATTTGGATCAGGTCAAACCTTGGGTTTGACATCAAGACCCAGGAGCTCCATCCCCAGATCATTCAAGGCCATTTTTGGGACATGCACTCTGTGAGGAGCCATGAAGACAGATTTATGCATGTCCAGCCAGGTGTGAGAGAATAGAAATAGTGTGACTTGACATGTTTCTCACCCTAGCAGCCCTGCATCTGCACCCCATAAGCCGTCCTGAACTCCACCCTTGTGAGGCAGATTTGAGGCTCAGGGCTCTTGCTCTATGCTCGGCCATCCTGGAACACATGGCTTAATCTCAGTGATGGGCAGGGGTGGGGGGTACAAAACAGCCCTGGCTTGGTAACAAAATCCCACTGCCCAGATCCCTGTGCCACACACACACCACACCAAGAACACCCTGGCCGCTATCTTTGAAAGTCCCACAGACCCGGGAAAGTAGGGACAGCAACGAGGGAGGCCCAAAGAGGGGAGGTGCCTGCCCACAGCCACCCCATTGATAAAGGACAGGGACAGAGATAGGATTGGAACTCAGGGAGGCCCATCCCCCAAGCCATCTGCGTACATCAGTCATTCAGTAGCCAGTTCAGTAAGGGATTTTCATTGTTAAATATGAAAAAGTGATTTTTTTTTTGAGATAGGATCTGGCTATGTAGTTTAGGCTGGCCTCATTCAGTGATCCTCCTGCCTCTGCTGAGTGCTGGGATTACAGGCATGCACCACCACACCTGGATTGAACAAGTGACTTTGGAAATGACTCCTCAGATTCCGTCCACCTCAAAGCAAAGCTGTGTTCTGGGATATACTTCAGTTGCTCAGGCTCTCAGGGGCTCACTGTGTGCCAGGCTGGATCAGGAGCGTTGCCTGGAAGAGGAGCACCAGCAAACAGCCCTATGGCACCAACACAAGGTACCCTAGGCTAAGGGTGCCACATGCCTTCGGAAGGCCCCCACAAGGGAGATGTGGGTCCAGCCTGTCACTCCTCCTGTGTGGCCAGCAAGCTCCCCAGGGCTCCAGGACGTGTCACAGAGACTCAGTGTGAAAGGTGGGTACCAAATTCTGCTGCCCTCTCATGCCTGTGGGGGGCCAGTGCTCCTGCCCCTGGGGGCCCGGGATGCCCCCTTGCCAGGCTTTGCATAGGCCTTGGCCCTCCTGTGCCTTCCCTGTGGGGTGGAGCCGCCCCCATATTCACCACCACTTCCTCTTCTCCTGCACGTATCACTCTTGGTGGCTGTGAGGTGGCCACAGAGACTAGGCCTCAAGCAAGCCACTTCCCTTCCTGGCCTCTCATGGGCACACAGGATAGAGGCCACCTCTCCTAGCACTGACAGCCTGTGCCTTAGGGCCCGGCCCCCGTGGGAGATACAGGTCACAGAAGATCCAACCGGGTTTGAGAGAACAGGTTTGAGGAAGGAGTGTGACCCACTAGATGTGTTTCACACCTACTTGGACCCTGGGCTTTCTCAGCATCAACTTCCTCCCCTGAGAAAATGGG